ATCAACTATGGAAGAGAAACAAATACAAAGAGTTAGGTGTGAATTTTGAGTGAAAGTCAATTTAAGATGACAGGCATGGGTAATAGGAGGATGAAACACTCTTCAACTAATAAAGGCCATCTAGATGGATGATTTGACTTCCAAGAGATAAGAAGGAACTCTAGGCCAATAATCATAAATAAGGTAAACCCAGAAATTGCAGTGATTATGACCATGGCAAGGAAGAGAATTAAAAAAGAAGGATAGGACGTTATAAACTAAATTAAGTGCCAGAAATCAACTAAGTTGTAAGAGAAAGGGTTGACAACTTGGCATTTAGTATTCTGGTTATTTTTATTTTTCTGGAGGAAAGGTGGGGCATGTTACTTTAAGATTCCACAATAAGATTTAAATCATTCACACCTACCACCCCTGTTCATTCACAGCTTCATTGTTACAATGTAAACATCCAACACTTGCCATTAGACAATTGTACTGGGGAAAAAAAGAGGAAAAAGTGGGAGTATGTCTTTCTAATGACAGAAAGACATACTCCCACTACAACTAACCCTATTTCAGAAATGTTGGCTGAAATAATTTTTATTATAGCAATACCAAACAACTCAGCAAGTCAACCAGACTCGTTCTCAGCGAGCCAACTAGACTTATTCTCAGCAAGCCAACCAGAATTATTCTCAGCGAGCCAACCAGACTTATTCTCAGCGAATTTATCTCAGGTGTATCCTTCGGAAAGCCCGAATACTTTGTGAGGACTGTATTCATAGGATATATGATCTAAAAGTACATGATCATGTCTTTCTTAAAATGAATTTTTTCGTCGTAAACTATCTTTTATCTCAGGGATCTCATCAAAATAAACGCAAATCAAAATGACAAATCTAACTCGCTATGAAAAAATGTTGTGACATGTTTATGTTTAGGAAACTTTTCTTGATTATTAACAGAGATGAGATTGCTCCAGTAAGGATATTTCTAGAAAGAGAGGTTTGATTTATAAAATGATTGTTTGTGAATTTTTAAGAAACAGATAACGAGGTTAATAATTATGCACTTAGCAGCTGCCATCCTGGGGGTCGACCCTGGGGTCATACGGGGGAAGAGACTTTTGTCGCCAATTTTTGTTCTAGGACGGGGGCATTGAAGTGCATTTGCACTTCCGAGACGAGACACATGGGAAAACACCCACTGGATTTTTACCATTGCCGCCATCTTGAGAATAAGAGGTCCTTACCATGGGGACTGGTTATTACCATTGATATCTTCAGATGTAAAAAAACTACTACTACTACTACTACTTTTTCCAGTTAGTCGCCGGGTTTTCCGTGAAACCTACA